CATATTTGTGTTTGTGCTGTTATTCTGTCCCCGTCTCTTCATGGACACCTTTGGAAGAACGCTGAAGAAGAAAATTGCCAAGTGGAAAGGCCAGAAGGATCCCCCACTCATGGAGTCCCCGCTAGCCGCCCTCACCAAACTTGCCCAGCCTCTTCAGCCGCATCTGCAGCAACAGCAGCAGCGAGCCAAGGCTGCGACACCGCCCAATTCCAGCCAGGGAAAGCAGCAGACAGACGGCAGCGGCGGCCACCAACTGAGTGAGCAGAAACACAGGATGCGACAGCAGCGGGCATTCGTCAGCCAGAATCAGACCCAGAACGAGCTCTTCCTCAGGTTCAAGGACACTCGGCAGGAGGCCAGGAACGGTACGAGCGGGCGAGGCCAGCCTTACCACCACAGGGCCTCTCCCACAATGGGACAGGGCCAGCTCAAAGGAAAAACCCAGTTGAATGGAACTGTCAGCCCACAAAAGCAGTACCAAATTCTGGTAAGCTGGTTTGCAAATCGTATGATTTAATATTCAAAATTTGACCTTTCATTCGATCGAAGATTTAAATATTCAGTAATGCCAAATTTCCCGGTTAACAGTGACACCACAACGTGAGGCAATTACCGTGGAAGTTAAACCTCAATGACGTGATTGTCATTGGCAGTGACAGCAAAATCCTCAGCAGAAGCAGTCCTATTTATGGCAATTGCCAAAAGTAATAAAGGTGTTGTTCAACGTTTTTATTTCTCTTTCTTTTATAGACCAGAAACCGAGTGAAAGAAGGTGCAAATGATATTGTTGCCGGTGAGTCTTAATCAATCTTTTGTTTTTTTGAAATGCTCACCAAACATGCACTGCTCTCAGTCAGCGAATGCCCCAAAACATCAAGGTACCTTTTCAACATCACTCAACATGAGAACAAATCTCTGCGCATGCCTTTATTTCTTGTGAGCAGAAAAGAGATCAACGTCATTGCAACTAGGTCGTATCTTGTGTACCAAACAAATGCAAGTTATGACCTTGTTGCATTGACGCGATGAACTGATGCCAGCTAGCTGGATGAGGGGGAGGGGGTGGGGTTGGGAATGGGAGACGGCCAGGTCAGCCAAGGTGCTGTTGGCAACCCTCCCATAGTCTGATTTCAGACTGCTGTGCCCATAGCTAATGAAGGTGTATGTCGGAAATTCATGAACAGGTATAGGGCAGCGGGTACATCCGGGAGTTTCACAAAATTGTGGGTAGCCACCACACCGCACCAAAGAAAACAACTACAATGAGCGCGTGTGGACTGATGAAAGAAAAGATTGTGTAATCTGATCCTGGGACTTGTGGTGTGTGCGTACGTCGCCATGGCCGGTGTTTTCACCAGTACGGTACCTGCCATTTTGCGAGAATCTTGGATGTCTGCGCTGCCCCATGTGATCATTTGCTAAAGAGTCCATTCAAATTGTGTTAAGCTGTACTTGGCGGCAAGGCTCACCTGAAATTTTGGCAGCAATGCCGTCCCTCTCATTTTCAATTTCCAACCAAAGATGCAGTGATAAACGCCAGCGGTGACCGGCTGAACCACCCCGGGAGACTCGCCGCCACGGCATTTGTAAACTTTAAGCTGGACACTGCAGCCCTCATGAGGGCATTTGATGCAGGACTGTACGGGAGAGGGAGAGAATTCCGGTAAGAATTCCCCTGTGCGTCAGAGAATTTATCTGGTCAGACATTGCCATCGGTACATCACACAACATTCATTGAAGGACCATCAAAGACACCGGACAGGCCATGACCAAGAAGCATTGGATTAAAGACACACTAACAGGTGCTATCCTGGACAGAATTCTCATGTGGGTGCCTGCTTTTTTTTTTAGTCCCAGGGAGAATGGCAGATACAAATCCTAGTCCAAAAAAATTGTGGCGCTGGAAAAAAAGTAATTGGACTGGAACTTTTTTTTATTTTTTGAGGATTTTAGGGAAAGTGGCAGAAGAGGGTCACTGTGGACTCTCTGCATTAGAGAAGTAGCTTTTTCACCAAGGAAACAAGCATCATGGTCGATGACTCAAGGGATGACACGTAGCCATGTTGTAGTAGAGACCCCTTAAGACTATCACAGGACCTGCATAAGACCTCCAGTCCCAAGTCACCAGCCCTTGGAATGAACTACAACAGAAGCATTTCTTTGTCACTGGTCACCCTGTCACTTGTGACCATGGTGACTAGTTTGGGACATGCTCAACTGTAACACTGTACTCGTGGCATACATGGAGGTGTGCTCGTTCCACATACACGCCAATAATATTGCAAATCAGTGAAGGACTTTTGTGGACATTTGGCAGAGGGTGCAATAAAAATCTTCTTGTGCAGGGGGGCAGGTATTAAAATAAATTCCAGAAAAAGTTGTTTGGTCCCCAAGAATCAACTTTTGTTTAGGGGGGATGGTGTACTCTTTGTCTCCTAACATTCAAGGGGCTTTCGTAGTGTCACGTGATGTGCATTCAAATGTGGTGTCATTCGGTCCTAAGGAGCTACATGGGATTATTAGAGTGCTAACTCATTTCTCTGCGGAGGTACTTTGAAGCAGCCCTGAGTGCAGACATTTTGAATTCATGTGCATGTTTGTACATCATAATGAAGTACGTGTAAATTACTGTGCATGCAACAAGCACAAGAACATTTCTGTACAACACATTACAAACCAAATGCCATGGCAAAATTCATCTCCTGCATGTACTTGCCTGCACCGTTTACACACAGCCAATTGGAGCATTCGTTTACTGATTGTGTGTTTCATTATTTTGCGAGTCAGCAATGACGACATCACGGTGTAGAAATCTGACCAAATTTCATATTGCCTATACATTTGTATACAAACATGGATGCGCTCAGAGGGCTTCTTTATGCAAGCGAGTCGGCGCTCTAGTGATGTCAGTTGCTCTAAGTAAGAAACGGAAATGTTTTCTCACCATTTTGTCGGCGAGCTTATTGTGGCAATATTTGTAGTGTGCTCTTCACTATTGTACTTAGTTTTAAAGTTACAAGAATTGTACAGTGTACAAACACTTGGTTACTGTCAGTTTTTTAGCAAGTTTTTACCGGTGTTGCTTTTTTTTTTATATATGTTAAGAAATGTGAAAACTATGTAACACATCCTAAGAAATAATTAAAGACGAACCTGCAAGTATTTGGTAGTTGCTGTAATAGGGTCAAATGTTTAGGGGGAAAGGGAAATAGAATTATCCAAGAGGAAGTAATCGCGTGTGGCTGAAGGGTGATTGAAGCAAACTGCTTCAGTCACAGGTCATTTTTTACGGCCTTGGCGTTTTATTCCATTGAATAACCCCATAGGCCAAACACTGTTGATGAAAGTGAATCTTGGCTCACTGTTCCATTGGTTACACCTTTCATTGTTCTTGCAACAGCCCCAATTTACATTTATTTTCGTGTGAGTGGTTCCCTCATTGCTTCATTGTGAAATAAAAGACTGTTGAGTACCAGCCATGCAACGCTGACCCTAGGATGAAATTTCAAAGAGTAGAGTCGAACAGTCCAACTAATCCTGCCTTTGAGTGAAACTGGTCAAACCAAGATTCACACTAATACTTGCTGATTTGTGTGGACATAGAAAATTGCCTTATGCACTACGGCTAGTATTTAACCTACCATATTATGCAGAGAAGACACTGCTCTTATGGACTATTCCCTTCATGTCAGATTTAGAGTTATTAATGTACTTCTTTTAATTTGTTGGAGGCCTGCACTTGGCCCTTTTAGAATTCTTTGGACTAACAATTTTCCAACATGTAGGCAGTTAACTCTCCAGCGCAGTATATTTTAGTGTAACTCAGTGACCAGAATCAGGAGCCATTATTGCGGTGGCGCAATGCTTGTGGACAGGTGGTACGCGTGCCATACATGCCTCTTTAACCAATAGGATGTTATGATTTGCCAAATGCATGCCTGCATCAAGCTGAGGGCTGCGCATGTGAATGTGGTGCCACCGCAGTCATGGTGTCTTTCAAGTTAGTCAAATACAGAGCGTGACAATTTCTAAAGAGGAAAAAAACGATATCTTTGAGGTAAACATTCAAGGCAGTTCTTTTTTTCTTTTGCCAGGAAGTGTTTCATAGTAGCTCTCTGTTGTAATCAACAAGCTGATTGGGGCAGCATATACACTGATGCATATTCATGAAACGTCGAACTTGTGTGAGTTGGTGACAGTTTACTTTTTCCAGCCACATTAAACTCAACTTGCAGTTCAGTTCACATAGTTCATTAACTCAGTGACTGATTCCTCTTTACTTCACAGTTTCTACGAGAAATAAAGTTACTCAAGAAAGCTTTGGATGGGGTCAAGGTTCATGTAGTGTTTTCACATGCATTTGTGATATACATGTATGCTCAAAAACATGCAGAAAAATACCTTCGTAAAGCTGAAAAATAGTAATAAAATAGAAATACATTTAACCTTTAATAACATGCTTTGAATAATACATGTACACAGGTCTAGAGGAGGTTTGCTGCTACACTTGTTTTACTTCACAGTGTCTTGATGTTGATTGGTTTGACTTATACTAGAGGTTCATTTACTTAAGTCGTGAGGTCACTTCAACCATTCATTCCCCCCCCCATCCTCAATCGTCCAAGTTGAGCAAGATTTTTCACATGACCTCTTTGGGGCATAGGATTTTACAGAAAACCTACCGGGTTACTTGATGAAAGCCATGTGCCTACTCCGTCAGTATTTCAAAGGGTTTCCAAGTCTAGCCAAGAGTGTCAGTCTAACTCGTGGCCAGTTGCTAAAACTATATGTGACTAGCTCTAGAAAAATAGAAATTTTGCCCTCTTCAAATAGAACAAGCCATTACTTGTTTTAGCATGGCGCGACTTAATACCTTTTTTGGCAGAGCGGGTCACATCTTTGCTTATTTGGTGAAAGCAATACAAAAAATTGAGGTACAAATAAACAAAGCAGATCACTGTTTGTGTAGCCCGTTGCCCCATTTATTTTATTTTGAATGATATCTTTTTACTGCCTCTTTTCTTCCCCACACACAGCTTTCTGTGGCTTTCCCTCCAAATGCTACACCAATTTGACACTTAAACACATTAAAGAAAACATCTATACTATAGTGATGTCGTGAAACATGATTTATAACAATTCACTTACAACTTCTGAACCCAATATGGGTAAATTGTAGCGATATTTTGGGCTACACATAAATGTGAACGTGATCTAAAGGACAAAGTTGCCACGGCTGTACATGTGTTTCCAAATTGTATTAAAAATGAAACAGCAGATTTTTTTGGTTTGAACACAGTGCAATCGTATGACAGGTTCTTTGGAAAGAGTATGAAATTAATTAGCTTTAATAAATTTAACATTCACTCCACTGTTGCCTGAAAGCTTTTTTGTCCAGAGCACGGTACATATATATATGACCTCAGATTTTCTGACCTTTTGAATTTCAAATCACTAGGCATATTATCACTGGGGAATTTTAAGTCGTGCTCTTCATTTGCTGAGCTCTGTGAATGAATCTTCAATGTACATGTAATCAGAATATGTGAGACACTTGCTGCATTTTCGATTTTGTACATTTTAAATTAATGACATGAAATCTGCAAAAAAGTTCATGTATAAAGCAATGGAATGGCCAAGGGTGAAATTAAACACTACGTGTATTTCTTGAGTTTTCTTCAGTGTCGTGCCTGAATTGCCACCTATTATTGTCCATACAACAAGGCTCCAAGGCAAGCTGGTTGGTCAAGTTCATAAGGTCAGCAATGTAGGTTTTTGTTTATTTCGTTTTTCACAAGCGTCATGCTGTTGTGTTGACAACTCTTTCCATCACAGAAACACTAGCAGACCAGTCCTGGCTAGAGCGCTTACATTCCCTGTTGAATCTGTTCACTGACAACAAGCAAAACTACTGATAGATCATGGAGGATGGAACATGAACTCCTGCATGGATGGAGAGATTCAATCTTTTCACACATTATGTAGGCCTAGTGGGCCTACGTTACATATAATACATGTATAAATTTTAGGTTTGATGGAAGGTTGGCTTCATGCATGACTGTCATCGATGGTCTTGCCTCGACTTTGTCACTTCTCCATCGTGGCTACGCTGTCGTCGTGTCTGTCATTCCAGTCACCCATGTCTCTTCCTCCTGTCTCGTTGCTCTTCGAAGCATCGCCGTTACTCTCTTCCAACGACCGGTCGTTCAATAGTGGTTGCTGCAGCACCGCGGAAGCCGCCGGTTGGTCCGCGTCCGTCTCACCACCAGGCGCACCCGGAAATGCCAGTGCAGAGTTGGGGTCGTTGAGTCGAGCAAGAAAGGACGTCAAGAGAGATTTGTTCAGGTGATCCGTCTGGGTCAGTTCTCGCACAGTTTCATTTGGTGGTTCCTCTTCTTGAGCCACTTGGACAGGGGCGCCATTTGAGAAGTCAGATGCAGGTTTTACTTCTTTGGTGCCTACGGTGTCCATTGCGTCTCCGTCCGGCATTGTGATTGTGATTCATGGATGATGTGGATCGGCGTTGTAACAATGGAGGGCGCCGTACAGCATGCGGCACATTCAATCCCGTATAAAATTGGCCAAGGGAGTTGATCCTGGCAAAGATTTACACATGCTCACCATTTTGGGGCCATACAATTTCTTTTTTCAAAAGGTACCGGGGCACTTTTATGAATTAATTAAACTAAATTCTTCAAGTACACCACACCCTTAATGCTGCTCACGCACATTAAAGGTATGGTCACGACCAACTACATGTACTTACAACTTTAAAAATAAGTGCTCAAAATGTAAATTTAGTCTAATAACTAACTTGATCAAGTGTTAGCTAAATGAATAGGACGATTAATTCTTGGTTCAGCTGATTTGCGTATTTCTCAAGTCGCGTGAGGTCGCTCTTCGCCTTGATTTTGCAATGTATTTAGGTATGTGCGTATGTACGCAGGTACAGGTACGTACTAGGTCAGCGAGCGGCTGGTGCGCGCTGCGCTGCGACGAATGACGAACGCCTTGACCAAGGCCACAACTTGAGACCCCGGGGCATCACTGAATGAGTGTTGATCCTGTCATATCGGTGAAGCTTTGATCCAAGACGAGCAGTTGGACTGACACTTGGTTGCTATAAGTCCAACTGCCTGATGCATTCAGGGGGGTTTCAAGACGTCGATCAGATCGTTGATGATTTTGTGGAAGTTAGTGAGACGCTGGATGTTATCTCCTGTTTTCCATGTTTTGAGAAGAGCAGTTACAAATTAATGTCCAAGCAAAGCGGGCAGCTAGCTTTTCGTTGAACCATCACAATCTGCTACGGATGGCTGTGACAAGATCCCAAGTTGATCCATCACATAATCAACAGAAGGACGGACTGGACTTTGGTAGGCTTGGACTTAAGGGGCTGAACTTAAGTTGCCTCTCAGGAAACCAAACATTTTGGCTGTGATTGCATATGACTAATAAGAGTATTCCATTTCATGTCCAATGCCGAGAGACATAGACCCCAAGGTACATATGGCTTTTGACGGCCGGGACCCCTGCTTGTAGGAATGTTGAATAATGTTTTCTTAATTATTGGTGAATCTGAGAATCTTGAGTTTGTCTGGTTTGAATCAATGACATCTGTCAGCACTGCCCCTCTCTTCTGCAGTGTCTTCGTGCACAGATCTTGCTGGATAGATGATTGCAGTCAGATGATGATGTAGTTGCAATGAGTGGTCTATTCGTGCAAGGAGGGTTGAACATGGACTTCTCATAGACTATGGGATGTGTTTATCTTTATTTTAGTTTGTTTTTTTATTTTATTACCCTTCACACTGGCTATTGTAAAACAAAACAAAAAAATTAATACATTAAAAACATATACATAAAACATTTGACATGACACAACAATCAGATGACGGGTATAAAAAACAACATGCTAAAAAGCCAGTGACTGGCAAGATGAAACAGTTGACCAGGACCTCTACAGAGCCATCCTACCACATGACGACCCCCCCCCCAAGGGAAATAAGACAAGTGGGAATTTATTAATATCTACAGCCAGCACAGCGACAGTTAGACACCCAATCACATCTATTATCGGATTCGAAGCTAGAGCTGAACTTTGTTTTATAAAATTCCAAAATTTGGGTCTTGAAAGATGAAAATGAAGAATCTTATAGGCCTATGGCTGCTAAAGGAGGTTGGTTCCAAGTGTTAACAATACGCTGAAAATAATACTCGGAATTACAACGGGGAATGGATAAATTATCAACTGCAGAGTTTAGGCTGTTTTAAAATCTCCCATTTATCCTCGACATGGCCATCAAGGAAGGCTATGGAGGGACTGAGGAACCGTTTGTAAGCTGGGCCTCAGCATCTGCTTTATAAAAACGAAACAAAACAAACATTTAGGACGGGTGTACTTTTGGTAGGTTAATTAAATACAAGGTTTCGCAGTTGTGAAATGATCATGCAGCTACACATGGTAAGAATAACTGTATGGGAAGGAGTCGCTGCCACCTGCAGGGTTTAATTGTCCCCTCCTTCCTCCATGGTCACAAGCAGCCGCAAGTCTAGGATGCTCGTATGACTCTTGTCACTCTTATTCACAGTGACGGTTATAGTGACTTCACTACACGGAGCAAGCTGCGTGAATAAAAAGTCATTGAAAATAAATTTTCAAGTAGACTTGAAGACACACGTTCTATACAGGTGGTGGTTTTCTAGCGGTATGCTTCGCCGATCGACATTGTTGCATCTTGCCTGGATTCTTATTAATTAGTTTGATTGATTTTGAGGAATGATTCGCTTAGCTTTAGAAGAGCTAGGCTCTTTTCCATGGGATGAAGACGAAAGAAGACACTTCAAAGAGAGGCTTCTGGTTCGCAAGCTGAATTTTGATCCACAGGAGCTCGGAATCCACAAAGGTCCTGCATGTTCGTTGCAATGGTATTTTTTTCACGGCAGTAAGCATACCTCTATCGAATTTGGTTTGCAAGGAAACATTCACAGCTATCTATCAGAGTCAGATCGCTGAGCTATGGACTACATATGCACGAGGGACGGTTTTCATGCGCCTCGGACTTTCTCAGCTGAGCATCTACATACAAAGCACACAAATAAGAGTTTCAAGTGTCCTGTCTATCTTACTTTCCTTACAACCCTTATCTACATCAGGATTTCGTTTGTTGACTTTGGTAGACCATGTTACACGTATCTCTTTTCTTGTTACCAATTAAGTGGTGAAGATCAGGAGAGGATCACTATTAAGCCGATCGAGACTAAGATTCAAATCGGAGTCGATCAGTTCCATTAATGCCTTGTACACTCTCATGTAAATAAAATTATGAATGTTTTAGGATTGCAATGAAAAAAAATTCTATAGGTCACAGATTAGATGTTCTTTTCCACAAGGTGATCCAAGCCGAGTGGATATGGAACCCTGCGTCACTGAATGAAATTATTGCTGCCATTGCACGATAACATGAAACAACTGATTAGGCATGTTTGTTT